TAGTTCAAAATCAAACGCAGCAAACACCCTGAGAGAACGCAGCAAACAATGGGAGTTCCAGCATAAGACCAGGAGAACAACGCAACAAACTCTACTTCTGGATCCGAAAGAAGCCATAGACAATCGCAAAATCAACGCAAAGAGGAAAATATACAGACGCACAAGAAGCAACACACGTGAAACTCGCAGTGCAGAGCAAAACTAAGAAGACACTGAGCAAGGTGGTTTGGGCGGCAGGTCAGCCGCCTGGCACGAACAACAGTTTCTAATTGCTAATTACTATGCTTCCTGGCAACTATGTGATAAAAATATGAAGTGTGAGGAATTTCCAACCATTGCTAAGAGTTCCAACGGACACTAGTAGTTACTAGTATTGTGACTGACAATTCGTAGCAAGTACCACTGAATATTTTCAACCACCACCAGATACTAGTAGTTACTAGTAAGTATAACGAAGACACGTAAAGATGCTTCCCGCGCTGTCGCTTTAGGAGCAACTAGGCGCGGGTGTAGTTCAAACAATGAACAGAAGACATGTTTTCCAGAACGATTACGCAAAGGGCAAAACTGCACTTTGTCGTAGGAGCATCTCGGGGCGAAGCAACCAGAAACGCATGGAAACGAGGTTGCAGCAACCCGCGAACCAGCAAAGATGCTTCAAACGAATCCGCAAGCATACGGAACCGTAAAGTAGTCGGAAATGCCGCAAATCAGAGCATGTGGAGTCAACATGTTGCAAATCAAAATATCTTGAACTAGAAAGCAAAAAGAACTGCTGCAATTTAGGGCCTCGCCAAAAAAGCACCTCCGTCCATGAACCCCCCAACCCGAAACCCTAAACCCGACCCAACACTCTATAAGAACCCTTACGGAACCCATTTAGCAACCCTTAGAGAAACCCCAAAAGTTCAGCAAACCTGCAGTCCCCTTAGCCAGGTCAGTGCCTGAAGGCGGCAGCAAATTTGCGCCTCCAGGGCTCGACGTGCAACAGCAAGGCTGAGCCGGCCGCTTTGACGAAATCATCGGTTTACGACCAGAATTCTAGTAGTATTATCAGCATGGTGATTGTATGTATTTCTATGTAGATAGACATATTTAGGTGTGAAGTTTCTTTCTTCTTAGTGTTTTTGATAGTGGGGGGGTGCGGTGGTGATAGTGAATTTAGGGTTTAGGGGTTTGTTTTTCAGGCGGTTTTGGTGTGGCTTGAACTGAAATATAGCTCAGGGCACTTGGGGGCTTTGAAGCGTTTAGGCACGGGTCCAGAAATATCGGGCTCGGGGTTGAGGGTTTAGAGATGTTTGATTTTTTTGGTGCTTGTGCTTGGGATTCGGGAATGTTCCGCAGCTGTGTTGTCCCATCTCTGGAAAAAGCCGGTCAGTGGGCTTGGGGTTTATGGCTTCGGGGTCCTGGTGAGAAAGCAGCCTTTGTAAGCGAAGCTTGAGCAGTTCTTTCGTTGTGGCCCAAAGGCCGAGGCCTTAGCTTGCTCTGGGTCTGGGTGGTGGCCTGAATTCAAGGTTTGGAGCTAGACAGAAAAGGAGCCCAAGAAATTGCTTAAACCCCAAACATCCCCAAACCCTAAACTGGTGTGTGCAGTGCGGGTGGCAAAAACAACTACAAGTATGCACGTATGTATGTATGCATGTATGTATGTATGTGTGTATGTATGTATGAATGTATGTATGTATTTATGTGTGTGTACGCATGTGTATATATATATATGTATGTGTGTGTGCATATATATATATATATATGAAGAAAGGTGGCCAGGAAGCCCTGCGGGAGCCTCCCGCCGTTTGTTCGTCATATTCTTTCTTCGGAAATAATGGGTCTTGTCAGCTGAGAAACTGCCAATTGTGGGTTCATGCTACTTTTTCTGGCATCCCCTCCCAGCCCAGATTGAAAAAAATCGGCTTAGGGCTTAGGGCAGTTTAGGGTTTTGGATTTCTTTATCGGACTTTTTGCATGTGGATCAAGCATGGAAGGTTTTCGCCCATGTCTACTGGAAACCACTGGCGGGTTTTGGGCTTGGGTGTAGTAGTTCCGGAACCCCAACCCCAAACCCTCGCCACTCCAAGCCCGCAAGAAATCCGCGAACCCTAGGCAACCCCCCCCCCCTCCGACCCCAAACCCAGGACCTGCACTTTTGCCACAAAACTCCCTAAAGTCCACGACAAAAACCCTACAACACCCCGAAAGCCCAACAAAAATGATGAACCCCACAACCCACTTGCCTGAGAAACCCTCAAGCCTGGATCCCTGTGCTCAAAGCCCCTGAGCCCGTCTGCCCTCCGAGGATCAGCTCCTGCAGGCCGTTGATCTCTCCTCGCTCCTTTGGGATGAGCTGCCTGGCCACATTGGCCATGTAATTTAAGGCCTTAGCGTTCGGGTTTGGGGGGGTTCCTCTACAGGTTTTTTTGAGGGGTTCTATCGGGTTTTAGGGTTTCGGGCTTCGGCGACGGGTTTGGGATTTAAGTTTAGGGTTTTAGGGGACTTTCCAGCTTTTCAGGGTTCTTATACGGGTGTTGTTCTCAAGGTCCTTGTAAAGGGGAGACGGTTGTCCGTATACAGAGATCCTAGCTGAACAAGGGGCTTATCGTTGCCGGTTTGGGGACTTGATGGCTTTCGGTAAGGAGCTTTGGGTTCCGGAAGAGCCCCATACCTCTGAATTGAGGAGTAGGCCTTGAACGCGAGGAAGCCCTCTATAGCTTCAGGTTGAGATGCACTCCAGAATTTGCAGAGCATTGGGCTTTGTTGGATAACCTTGGTGTCGGGCTTACTGCGTGCTTGTTCAGAACTTTCATGTAAAATCAAGGTACCATCACGCGCAAAGCCTGCTTTTCATAATTGTAAACGCTTGCGCGCGCCGCCTCGGCAGCCGGGCCGGGGTAGGGGGGGGGGGGGGGAGGGGGCTGAGACCACGGCATCCCTTTACAGCTCCTCCAAGCGATGGGGGGGGGGGGGGGGGTCCACAGGGCCGGGGGGGGGGGGGGGGGGGTCAGCCACAAAATTTCGCATGGGGAGAAGGGTTGGCTTGTTCCAGACGCTTCTCGGCAGGAAGCCGAGGCGAATTTATGTATGTATGCCATATGTATGTATACTGTATGACTGTCTGCAATGTAATGCAATGTAATGCAATGTACTGCAATGTAATGTAATGCCATGTAATGCAATGCAATGTAATGTAATGCAATGTAATGTAATGTAATGTATGTCTGTATGTGTGTACGTGTATGTATACTGTACACTGTATGTATGCATGTGTGCATGTATGCATGTATGCATGTATGCATGTATGCATGTATGCATGTATATGGATATGGATATGCGCGGCCGTGCAGCAGAACACTTGCAGGAAGCACCGTAGCAGTTTGAAGCAGTTCCTTTTTGGGGAGTTACAGAAAAAGGATTACGGAGCCCCAAGTAGGGTCCTTCAAAAAAGGACCCCCGAACAAGGTACCCAATTGTTGCCGCAAACGCCTGTTTTTAAGGAGAGAAGTCAGGGGTCTCCGTACGTGCCACCCCTAAACCCTGAACGCGCATGCCATGTACAAGTCAGATGGTCCGCAGTAGGGTCGAAAGCCAGACCACCCTCAAATAGATTCAGCTCTGTTATGTGCATTGCATGAAGTGTACTTGATTGTTGAAGGTCAGATCAGAGCTGATAGTTGACAGCCGAACCCGACCAGAATCCTTGCCCTGCTTCAGCGAGCGCGAGAGTCGAAACCCTGAACCTCTCGACCTCGTCCACCGAAGCTTAGACTTCTAGACTCTAGACCGGACTTAGGGCGCTTGGGTTTAGGTTTCGGGTTTGAGGGTTACGCGAAATAAACCCAAAGGCCTACAGCCCTTGAGCCGCAAAGCCGAAAGAGGGCTGTGGGTTCCTTAGGTAGTAGGCCCCCTCAACCTAATCCTAATTCCTAGGTTGTTCGTGTGAAGACACCCGGATCTGTCGAAAGGTTCAAGGCTGGAGCAAACGTGCCCGGCAAGTCGCACAGCGGGCTTCAGAATCGCGGCGGCTGGACTAGGGCTCTGGAATGGGATTTGGTATTTTCCGAAATAAGATTTTTCAACGGTAAAACAAAGGCAGAGAAAACGTAGGTACTGGGCCGCCTTGAGTTTCTGAACCTTTGTGTTACCTTCTTTCTACCTTGTTTTTACCTTTGTTTTGCACCCTTTTTCCTACTTTTAAACCTTGTTGTTGTTTTCTTCTACCTGTTCCTAGGTAAAAGTCTGGATTCCCTCCTGGCAGATCCCGGCTGGCCAAACAAAAGGTGACCTAATTTTTCCGGAGTTAGGGTTTAGCCTGGGCGCAGGAGCTTCAATTTGTAGGAGCGCGGTCTGCTTTACAATCCCTATACATGTAAGTATGCTGAGCCCCAAACCCTGTTCTATGCATTTAGGATCGCGTATGAGGGTTTTGGGGCTTTGGAGTCTTTGTTGCCATCGGGGTAGTCTTCGCTGTTAGTTTTGTTCGTCGGTGCGGGGTTCAGTGTATTGGGGTTTCTAGGTTGCAAGATTTCGGATTGGGGGCTGACCGTCAGGGTTCGGGGTGGTTCCCAGAGAACCCCGCACCCACTCAATTTGTTCAAAGGAGAAAGTGTCTAGGGTTTAGGGGTTCGGCATGCGGTTGCTTTTGCGGGGTCCCTTCTCTTACAAGGTATTTGCGCTATAGAAGGAATCCAGCACATTTTTTTCGAGAGTAAACACTGGACCTCAAAACCCTAAGCCTTCAAACCCGACACCTTGCTCCATGAAAACCTTGTACCATCAGCGCTCTTTTTGCTTTTTTGTAAAGTAGGAGCCTTAAGAATTCACAGCATTACCGCGCTGAAATGCCCACCTAAACCCTCTACATCCATCTACCCCGCCCCGAAACCTTGGAATGATATGCCCGCAAGCATCCGCAAGCCGCCCTGCTCAGCCCTGCTCTGTCCGTGGCTTTTCGCTCCATGGGATCCCACGGGGCAGGCTTAGGGGGCTTAGGGGTTTTGGGGTTTTGAGGTCTCGGGTGGAGGACAACACGCCTTATTCTGAGTCTATCAAGGGACCTTAGCCTTCCAGGAACCCTCAGTTTGAACCCAAAGCCTTTGCCCGAACTGGTTTTCTTGCGAATTAGCCCTATTCAGTCGAAATCCCAATGCCGCTCGGTGGCGGTGTACTTTACATCATTTCGAGAAGCCCCACGCAAGTATATCCTGGTCTTGGGCGACAAAACCGCACACGACCGGTCATAAAACTTACCACGCTTAAGGGTATTGAGCTTCCGGGTCAGTAGACTGAGGTTCTGCCCCGACCACCTTACGAAGCTTCCAGCTGGATGCCAGCTGTGGCGAGCACGTACTGGCTTTCTGGCTACCCAGGATACAGGCTACAGGGTTCACCTACAGCGTTGACGTCTACGGTTCAGGATGTATGGTGAAGGCCCTTTTTCAGGGTTTTGGGACTGTTTAGGGCGTAGGGCTTGCATTTGGGAAATTTACCTCATATAGACTCACCCCTACGAACACAATGAACACACCGAGTGTTCTGAAATCCCTATTTTAGGAAGAGACCAAACTGTATCAAGAACTCCCCGACCCTTTGCGTCAGGGACATGGCTTCACATGAGACTAAGAAGCCCAAGCCCATGGAGGGCAAGCCCAAAGCGGCCCTAAACCTCTGATATACAGCCATATACAGCCATATACAGCGCCCCGGCCAAAGCTTAGGAGTCGGTCGGGTTCAGCAGCAACGGCCACCTCGGTATGTGGCTTGCTTCAACAGCTTCTGTTTGAGGGTCTTTATATATATGAGGGTTTTATCGGTTTCAAGGTGGCTTACCCACTTTCGCGCTTGAATTATACCTGTTTGAGGGCTTCATATTGATAAATTTACACCAACCATTCTCTTCAGGCGAGGAGGCTCCTCGCCCGCTGTCCTACCCGGTTCTGGGCGTGGTCCATCCCGAAGTGCCCAGAGAAGAGAAGTTCGGAGAATCCCACCGAGTATCCCTGAAATGCCCTCCCACAAAGAAGCCGAAGAGAGTCTCCCTGGAATGCCTGCGGAGAAGCCCAGAGGGTATCGCTGGAGTGATAAAGTGGGGGCTTCATGTACTCAGGGTTCATGTAAGTATGGAAATCAAAGTTTGCGCCGATCTGTTTTTCTGTGCATGTTCGCCGCATGGCCAACGAAGCCGAGCCGAAAATCCAGATCCTCCATGCTCAGGTCGGAGGTTCCGGGCAAAAGCAAAACCACCGTCACATCCGCACAGGAATAGTTCCGTAGCGACAAAGACACCTCCAGCACCGTCGCCGCTGCCACCGCCCGAACAAGACTCGTCATAGCTCGAAGATAGCGAGAGGAACAGCGGAAGAGGGAACACTGATCAGGCAGAAGCATGCTCTGCATTCCATAGGAGAGATTCTGGGCACTCCTACAACCCGCAGCTGCGTCGATTGATGGACCCAAGTTGTCAACGTTTGAACAAACATTTTGAGGTCGGCCACCTGTACTGCAGCCAGCACCTACGGCGCTGCGGTGGAGAAGGCCCGGCAACCCAAACTTTGTTGGGTTGAGTTTCGTACATGTAGGGCTGGGGATTCCCAACGCGAGTCTAGTAGAGGGACAGAAGATGACAGAAGCCTGCATGACTATTCAGTCCCTCAGAAAGCCCGACACCTTTAACCCTGAACTCTAGCCGAGGGTTGTTCGTGTGCCCTGTCCTGTTCGGCCCGAAATTAATTAGAACTGCGAGAGAGGAAATACTTTAAACTGATGATCCTGACGGGAGCACTGGCTGAGCCCGGCCGACAATTCCAACATGTCCCGCTAAAACCTGGTAAAAACCCGGCCCTAAGTCCCAAACCTGAGAAATCGAGAAAACCCTCCATGCCCAGACGCTTCCGCTGCCGGGCCACATCCAGATTACAAGCGAAAGTGAGGGCACTTGCATGAGTTTCGCGGCAGCGACTTGTGTGAGTTCATGGGGTTGGACGTAAATTAAATGATCAAGTCTAAGGTTTACAGCTTAATGTCTGGGATTTTGAGAAGTTCCGCGTCTGGTCTAAGCATGCTCAAGACGGGAACCTGAAAGAGATGTCCATAGTGTGCAGTTCTGTGTCCCTGAAAAGTTGGGCTCAAAGTGAAGCCTGGAATTCATAGGGTTTATAGGTTTGAGGCTTCAGGGTTCACGGTGCCCTTGTTCGCACTATTTGAAGTGCACAGAAGTGCTGTGCAGCTGAATGCATGCCACCAGGCCCAAACCGTAAAGCCACGGTTTAGGCTTCAAGAAATGGCCTAAGAATTTAGGAAAGTTGGGCTACCACAATTTTTCTTAAACTCCCACATCCGTAGACTGCGTGGGTAATGAGGTTTCAGGGTTTTAGGCTGTGGGCTTCAGGTTTTGTGAGAAAGTTGAATCAGAAATCCGAAATTCCTAATTCCAGGCATCCACCGCATCGTCCCGTGGCATTTGGTGGTTCGCCATGGCCAAAAGTGCATGGACTACATCACAAGCGACAAGAAACTTGGAAGCGAGAATTCGAGGGCTTAGGTTTGGGTAGGGCGCTGGGCCGGGAACGATATATAGCAAAGCCTCCGGTAGGTCGTAGCAGTAGTGATACTAGTACTAGTACTAGTACTACCAGTACGAGTCTTGGAACTACGTAGTACTAGTACTAGTACTAGCACTAGTACTAATACTAACTAATACTAGTACTAGTACTAGTACTAGTAGTAGTAGTAGTAGTAGTAGTAGTAGTAGTAGTAGTAGTAGTAGTAGTAGTAGTAGTAGTAGTAGTAGTAGTAGTAGTAGTAGTAGTAGTAGTAGTAGTAGCAAAGCGCGCCCCCAGGCGCCTGCTGGTTTGGTGCGTTTTGCTGCGTTTTTTGCTATTGGTGGGGGGGGTGGGGGGGGGGTTGGGGGGGGGGGGGGGGTGGCGGGGGGGGATAAGAACATCATTCATATTGCACCCACGCCCAAAACATTGGTATTTACAGCGTTTTCGCTAGTTTGTACAACATACCGTGCAAGGTTGTGGACAAGACACGTTGTCACAAGCGTCCATGCCTTTTGAGACCATGCCCAAACACTGGTGTTTACGCCCAAAACACTGGTATTTACAGCATTTCCGCCGCTTTGTACAACATACTGCGGAAGGATGTGGAACAAGAAAAGCATTCACAAGCGTCCTTGCCTTTGGCGACCATGCCCAAAACACTGGTATTTACAGTGTTCTTGTTTCTCTACGGGCTGCAGACTTGACCTTTAGAACAGGGACCAGCATACAGCAACACATCCCTTCCAAACCCTGAAACCTCTATTTTCCGTGCCCGCGAGTAGTTTTTTTTAGTTGATTTTCGGCCTGTACCGGAAATGACGCAAAACACCAATGTCCGGACGTTCAGCCGCAGCAAACCGACCAGGCGCCCTGGGGCGCGCTAGCCTAGTAGTAGTAGTAGTAGTAGTAGTAGTAGTAGTAGTAGTAGTAGTAGTAGTAGTAGTAGTAGTAGTAGTAGTAGTAGTAGTAGTAGTAGTAGTCGTCGTAGTCGTAGTCGTAGTCGTAGTATAGTAGTCGTAAGCACTCCGGCTCAGCTGTGTCCCAGCAGCGGGGCTTGTAGTTGTGGAGATGTAGCATCTATGCCATGGAGCGAACCTTGCGGTGGAGTCCGGCTCCGAAACGTGATGATCACAGTCCTATAGTGCAGCGAGCCGCACTAGCGCTACTGTTGACCCTCGCCAGCTGGGTGCCTTTTGGCCCCAACAAAGGGCGCGTGGGTCGACCGAAAGCCTTTGCCCCTGGCTTGCCAACGCGTCAGTCTGAAGCTAGCCCCGTTGCAAGTGCGTGTTTACCAGCAGCTAGGAGTTGGCGCAACTTTTCCTGCAGTTGGTGCAAGCAAGAGGTCGATGCCGCCTGCATCCCTCCTGGGTGCGCGCCGTCAGGCTGCCCCATTGAGAGCACGCTCGTCAGCTGGGTGCCTCTTGGCCCCAACAAAGGGCGCATGGGTCGACTGTGTGCCTTTGGCCCTGGCCTGCCAACGGGGCAGTCTGGCACCATTGCAAGTGCCTGGCTACCAGCGATCAGGAGTTGGCGCAACTTTTCCTGCAGCTGGCGCAAGCATGACGTGGCTGCCGCCCGCATTCCTCCTGGGCGCGCGCCGTCAGGCCGCCCCATTGAGCGCATAGTGCCACACCTCCTTATAGATAGCCGGCCCGGTCCCAAGTCTGGGGTGGGATGCCGACTGACGACTCTACTTATATTGCTACATTGTCAGGTGTCCCACAGTGTGAGGGTTCCAGCTCTTTCCGTTGGAGCTGGGGAAGGCAACTCCCTTGCCTATCAGCGACGACTTCAGGTGCCGAAGCTAAACGGAGTTCAGGTCACAGATGGGAAGCAGGGACCTACTCACAAGTGGAACCGATGTGTCAAGAGATCCTTTATGCCAGCTTGCAATAGAGCTACTCGACATTGCCAAGCGCAGCCCTTGTGCCTGTGTACCTCTAGTTCAGATACCCGAGGAGTGTGTAGCTGCAGATCATCGCTGCCTTGTCCCGAATGCTGACCGACTGCCGGCGGCGGCAACCTACCCTATCCTCGGATTGGCCCGCGCTGGGCCCCCGGCCCCACGTATGCTTCGAGATGTGGTCTGGGTTTTGACGTTACGTCCTTCCGGGTCACAGTTAGTAAGTGCGAGAAAGCTGTGTTCTGGCGATGCGCTGCGGCCAGACCTTTCTTGGGTACTGAACTACACGGTCCCCAGTGTGCCCTCCAAGGGCCACTTGCAGTTCACAGGACTACAGGGCGTTGAACGTGGTCCTCAGTGCGCCCTCTTGGGGCCACTTGCAGTTTCATAGGACTACAAGGTGCTGTGCGTGGTCCTCAGTGTGCCCTCCTGGGGCCACTGCAGTTCTCAGGACTGCACTTTGTACAGAGAAACACCATGATGAATGCAAGATGCCATAACAGATGGCTGTAGCGATGTCGATAGCTCTACGACCTGTTTTCATGTTTACGTTTTCGCTTTCTACTTATCTGATTTTGCACTCTGTTGATCGAGTGAAGGGTGCACTGGTGCACCATCTCTTGACAAGTTGAGTAGGCCGCAAGTTTGCAGCTATTCGTAGCGGGACTTGCCCATGTGGTTCTAGTGCTCTTGAAGCACCGGTGCAATGCGCTGCCACGTACCTGACGCTAAGCTGAGAGACCGGCTGCGATTGGAATGAAATAGTAGTTTTTAAGTAGTAGTAAAAGTAAAAGTAAAAGTAGAAGTAGTTGTAGTAGTAGTAGTAGTAGTAGTAATAGTAGTAGTAGTAGTAGTAGTAGTAGTAGTAGTAGTAGTAGTAGTAGTAAAAGTAATAATAATAGTAGAAGTAGTAGAAGTAGTAGAAGTGGTAGAAGCAGCAGAAGTAGTAGAAGTAATAGTCGTAGTAGTAGTAGTAGTAGTAGTAGTAGTAGTAGTAGTAGTAGTAGTAGTAGTAGTAGTAGTAGTAGTAGTAGTAGTAGTAGTAGTAGTAGTACAACATCAACTAATACTACTACTACTATTATTATTATGATGACTACTACTACCTTACTATTACTACTACTACTACTACTACTACTACTACTACTACTACTACTACTACTACTACTACTACTACTACTACTCCTACTCCTACTACTACTACTACTACTACTACTACTACTACTACTACTACTACTACTACTACTACTACTACTACTACTACTACTACTACTACTACTACTACTACTACTACTACTACGACTACTACTACTACTACTACTACTACTACTACTACTACTACTACTACTACTACTACTACTACTACTACTACTACTACTACTACTCCTGCTGCTGCTGCTACTACTACTACTACTACTACTACTACTACTACTACTACTACTACTACTACTACTAACACTACTAGCTACTACTACCTACTACTACCTACTACTACCTACTACTACCTACTACTAACTACTACTAACTACTACTAACTACTACTAACTACTACTAACTACTACTAACTACTACTAACTACTACTAACTACTACTAACTACTACTAACTACTACTAACTACTACTAACTACTACTAACTACTACTAACTACTACTAACTACTACTAACTGCTACTAACTGCTACTAACTACTACTAACTACTACTAACTACTACTAACTACTACTAACTACTACTAACTACTACTAACTACTACTAACTACTACTAACTACTACTAACTACTACTAACTACTACTAACTACTATTAACTATTACTAACTACTACTAACTACTACTAACTACTACTAACTACTACTACCTACTACTACTACTACTACTACTACTACTACTACTACTACTACTACTACTACTACTACTACTACTACTACTACTACTACTACTACTACCACACTACTACTACTACTACTACTACTACTACTACTACTACTACTACTACTACTACTACTACTACTACTACTACTACTACTACTACTACTACTACTACTACTACTACTAACTACTACTACTACTACTACTACTACTACTACTACTACTACTACTACTACTACTACTAGAAGAAGGTCCAGTGGACCCGGGGGAAACGTCCAAAGCAGGCTACTTGGGTTCCTTGGCTTAGCGTAGTCACTCGGTCAGCCGATTGTTTCCTTGCTCTTCTCGCAAGTCCCGAATCACAGTGCCGCTCGATCCCGTTCGGATCGCACTCAAGAGCTCGCAAAACCTGCTGCGCAGCTGCAGTACGTTAACAAGCACTATGGCGGGTTTGTTGCCTTCGGCTAATAGCTCGGCTAAGCAACTGCTTTGAGCTACGACTTGAGAATTGAGTTTGAGTGTCCACAGCTGCAGTCGAGAAGACGTGGAGCTGTACAAAAGCAAAGGCAAACGACATGCAATTGCTACGTCACTGCATCACATGCTGCAATGATGCTTGCTGCAAAAATGCAACCTACACACAACGCACGAAGCGAGGGGACATGTCTCTATGGTACAAACGCAGCCACTTCCAGCAGCCCCGGATATTTAAAGAGACATGGATCCCCGATTCCGTGCAAATGGCGAAATCTAGACAGGCTAACCTACGGGCCACCACCTGCTCAACGTGCGCTCTCAGATCAAGTCGAGGATGGCCTGTCTTGGCTTCTGGGCGGCCCTTTCTCGCGATGCCTACGCCTCGGCTCGAAGTCCAACTTCGCAGGGATAGAGCGATCCCACAAGTCAGAGAACCAAGCATTGTAGGTCTCTACGCGAGGATCTCCCTCGGCTTCTGAGGTCTCGTAGCGCCTGACCATTTCAAAATTACACCTGCTGGCGCGGGTATAATTGTGCGACCCGGCATACACACACGTGGTCGAGCCACGGTCCACTAAGAGCGTTTTTGCATGTAACGCTCCAGACCAACCGGTCTGTCGGGGGTAGATGAGCGACAACGGCTTCCCCGATATGACGTGGACCTCGACGCCGGACTCCCTCAAACTCTGCAAACGTGGGAGGGCGTCATTACACGACTT